CATTACAACTAAAATATAATAACATCGAGCAGTCACTACCTAAATGAAAACGCATATATTTAAGTAGGCTATGAATGTGCATTGTTTACCACAGTTGAAATAGAGTTACCTGATAATAAACATTTAAGGGCTCGTGTTGGACTTTTGCTGATATCAAGTTCGACAACGTCGACGTATTTGACAATTTCGACTGCAGCTACTACAAACTCGAACGAAACTCCACTGCCAGTCCAGAGCAGTGCCAACGAGTGTCAGATTTGCTCTGAGCTCATAACTCCTTACAAAGTCCAATAAATAGTTGATCTCGCTTTCTTTTTTCGACTTCGAATACATTTATTTTACGGTGAGGGAAAATAAGCGGTGCTGTGATGACCTCGGTTAGGTCTTACTGAGTGGATCTCTTGGGATGACGCCAGCATCACCGCCATCTCGATGATCAGACGTCATTATGACGACTCCGAAGAAAGGGCTTCATGCCCCATGTCTTCTACTGGAGCAGGGTTCAACAGGATATAATTGGTTCCCACAAAACTATTGGAGACGTTGCTTGCATAAGCTAGAGAAAGTCGATAATAAAGGGACCACAGGTTATACAGGTGGGACAGAAAAATCGATTTTTGCGTAACTGCTTATGCGGAGTACCTGTATGATAATTTGAACCTGTTTTTCTTCTTGAACTTCTTCAATAACCTATGAATATGGTGAATTCTATAATAGCATAGAAGAATCAAGTCACCTACTCAACGAGCCCCTTTTTTTAAATGCGATCATTCTAAACATTGAACTCCTATTCAGGATCGTAGTGGCTTTAGAAGTCTTTCATCCCTCTGGGATCCATCGAACTTGTTGAGAAAGCACTGACTGATGGGTGAGCAGCGCTTCTGTGATAGCCACAACCATCTTCTCTTTTTAGTGTATGACAAAAAATCAGATCTTTCTAAGTGCTGCATCCGAAAATGCAGGGATGATCAAGGACCAGTCCATTTGAATTGTCCTCTTGGCTGCCATGAAGAAGCGTGCGAAGGTACTGCAGCCATAGCATATGGCCTGCATGTCTATTAACAAAGGTCCTCATCACTTAGGATGCCTCTTCGGTATTGTCTTTCGCAAATTATTGACCTCCAAAAGAGAAATCATAAAAACGAGAAATAAAAATATTTTTCAGAAATTTGTATTCTCTTCACCAGCAGCGGTTCATAATACTGCTATCTCGTTATATAACACCTTCCTCAGTTCCCTCTATGGGCGCACTCCATTGAGTGTATAAATAAATAAACAAATGAATATAATATAATATTGCATCTAGTTCCCTATGCGAATGTTTGAACGTATGTTTTTTGATCGAAAATTGCACATATGCTATATTGTAACCGGAACCTTCCAGTATTGTTTTTACTTTAATTTGGTTTAACATCACCGTTTATTCATTCTTTGGGAAATTTATTGACCACTCGATGTTCGATCTATTAGATAGCCCTTCATATAGTGTAATTTATTTGTGGATGCAGTATTATATTGGGTTGTAACATAATTTCGTAGATTTTTTTCGAAAAGATTTATTTGAACAAAATACAATAATTTTAATAATGAATTAACCAATGATGTATCTATCCTCCGTTACTGTTTACGACCTCCTCCCATCTCTCGACTAATTTGTTGATGCCGTTTCGCCAAAAATCGGCTGGTTTGGTGTCGGAGAAGTTGTTGCGCCAGTTTTCAAGACCTTCTTCGCCATCGAAGGTAACACCCCTCAATTGATTTGACAGAGAGCGGAAAAGGTGATAGTCGGTAGGTGCAAGATTAGGAGAGTACGGTGGATGCTGGAGAACCTCCCATTTAAGCTCTTGGAGTGCTGTTTTGACGACTTGGGCAATGGGGCTTGGAATGGCTGCATTCATAGTCCGCCGGCCGGCCGGGCGGCCGGCGTGCCACGAGGCAGTGCTAGGAGGGAGGAGGGCGGCAGACGGTCGGTCGAAGGGCCGAAAACAAAGAAAAACAAGATCAAAAACCAACCAACCAGGGGCTTGTACAAATGATTTTCGATCTTGTCTCTCCTTGTTTACGCGTTTTGTTCGAGCATTTCCCAGTGCCCCATGCCTTCCCGGTCCCACCAAACGCAGATCATAACCTTTTCGGGTGCAGGTCTTGCTTGAGTCTCAGCTCCGGGGTCTCTCCAGCTAAAATAATAGCTTTGCTAAAAAACAAAACAACTCCTTGTAAAATAACTCTAACGCAAAACTTTACGAACTTATGTTACAACCCAATATATGGCACTGTATTGCAAAATAATAACACCAAGCAGTCACTGCTTGATTGAAATCGCATATATATGAGTAGGCCATGAATGTACATTGTTTCACACAATTGAAATAGAGTCACCTGATAATAATCACTTCTAGAGCTCCTGTTGGGCTTCTGCTGATATCAAGTTCGACGTCGGATTACTATAACTACTGCAGGCTCGAACGATAATCCACTGCTTATCCAGAGCAGTGCCAACGAGTGGCAGAATTGCTCTGAACCCATAACTCCTTACAAGTCAAATAAACTGTCGATCTCATTCTCTTTGATCCTCGATTACAATGATTGTACCGAGGGGAAAAATAAGCGATTCTGTGATACCTTTGCATTACGCGCTTACTGACTGGTTCTCTCCGAACCACAGCGCCACCGCCATCTCGATGATATCTCCCACCCTCCCACCCGTGCAGGGTTCAACTGACTACATTGGCTTCCCATGGGGTCGAATGGAAACGTTACTCCCATAAGCTCGAGAAAGTTGACGAATAAAGGAAACACAGGTGATACAGGTGTGGCAGGATAATCGCTTTGTTGAGTACCTACCTATGTGGATTACCTGTATGATAATGTGTGCCTGTTTTTCTACTTGAGCTCATTCGGTAACCTCTGAATTTGGTGAATTCTATAATAGCATAGAAGGATCAAGTTACCTACTCAATGAGCTCCCTTTTTGAATACATTCATTCTAAATATTGGACTCCCAATCAGAATCTAGCGGCTTTTTGAGTCTTCTATCCTCCGCGGTCCATCGAACATGTTGAGATGGATCACTATGTCAGTCTTTTCCCAGGACATCTTGAACATGGAATATTACTGCAGCTACGTTCCAGAAATCTCCTTAGACTCCTGAATGAATTCAATGAGGACGAGTTTGATAATGCCTGAAACCGTGGGTGGTGATGACTGAATATAGCCAAGAGTTCGTGAACTCTTCAGAGAACGTCCCCTATGACATAACTATTTTTAACATATTCCAGCTTTTATGTAAATTGAGTTGGCAATATCGGGTTACTTTTCATTCTTACAGCGCGTACGGCCATATAAATGTCGATTCAATTAACCAACAAATACTGTTGCAACCATCTCTCCGCGAGTTCTGCACGTTATATTGCTTGCCACTTTGCACAAGCGAAGACCCCAAGATTTCAATTCAGTTTCCACAATCTCTCGGAAGTCTTCGACTAACCAGAGAACCTCGTTGTCCAGGGTTTTAGATGTACACATGTATTAACAAAACTTCCAGCCAGCTCTTCAGCCCCATTCTTGAATTCTATTCATTTGCTAGGAGACGAGAACTCTAGTGCTAAGGCACGCACTTCAGTTTCACTACAGGGTTGCAGGGTAAAAACGATTGTGCAAACAAATCGTAGTAGGCGGTATCAACACCACGGTATGCACTCTCCGAAAACGGACTAACTCTATGCATAGGCATAATGTTTTGCAGTGTTTTGCCGTACAGGTTTGTTAAGGTAGAAACNNNACGCGCTAGCCCAGTTGCAACAGCTCCCAGAAACTTGAACACCAAAAGATCCCAACCGAGAAAGCAACCTTCTGAAGAAGAATGAACGTGGAATTTTCTATGCATAGGGTCAAGAGAGCCTAAAATCGAGGATGTGAAAAACTATCAGAACCTCATCCCTATCTTAGGGAAAATCGCCATTCCCTATCTAAGGGTAATGTTTCTGAAAAAAAAAAACTTCTCGAAAATCGCAAAAGATTCATTGGGGATCATACTACTCCGAAACTCCAAAAAGCTTAGAGTACTTGTCTGTTCGGTAGTACAGTTCCCGTACTACTTGCCGGAACTTTCACTCACTCACCCTTATTTGCTTTCATTGTTCATGCCTGATATAACGTAGTAGTAATTCCGTATAAATAGTGCCCTTTGTGGACTACCATCACAAGCTCATCAGCTTCGAATATGTTCCACTACTTCCTCTGCGTTCTTCCACTGCTCAACGCCTTAATAAGTGACGTACTTGTCACTCAGGTCAGTCAGAAATCACTCCTATGTAGCGCTAATGACTAGAACATATACTCATCCGTATGGAAAATTTGAGAGCTCTAAAATACTGACCTTTGCCTCCGCACAGAATCTTATGAACTCCACCTATTTTCGAATCAATCGCATTTCCACAAGTTTCATTTCAGGACTGCTCGGACAAGGCGCTTGTGACTCCAGCAGGTTGGAGATTTTGCGTATACATGGCAACATCTAAGGATCAAAAAGGGCGGACATACTGCAAAGCCGTGGAATATGAGAAGATTGCTCGAGAGTACTGTGCAAAATCATGTGGCTTTCGTCATTGAGAGCATGATAATAGTTTAGGGAAGAAATAAAAATTCCTGAAACATTTTCTTATTTTTCGTTTTTATGGATATCTCATACAGAGGTTAATGATTTCCTAAAGACAACGCCGCAGAGAGCACAAAGTGAGTCGAGCAAATCAAGGGGCCACGCAACAAGCGGGGCACGATGTAGAGAAAGAGATCGTCTCTACAGAAGATCTTCTTCTGAGTGAAGCTATCACCTGATCTGCCAACCTTGCTCTCTATACGGTTTTAACCCGGTCGACCGTCTAAATGGATGGAAGAGTTCCGGATGTTCACATTCACGTTCTCTTCAGTCAACTTATAATCACTCTTCTGGGTTCACAAAGAGGCATATCGAGCCTGATGACAAATCAAACAAACCTAGCTGAATGTACCACGATTGGCATCCTTCGAATCTTAGCATGAACTTCGATTAGAATGTATACTCTCTCCCAAGATGTATGCCTTTCTGAGATTTCCAACTTTATGAGGCTAACGTCTTAGCAAAATCGCCTTCGTCAGAGCCTGCAATTCGAAAAACTATTTGAGATTGTTTCTCTTACAAGGCAAGGACAATTTCTAGACTAGGAGACCTTATAGACCTATGGGAATACAGGTGTCTTACCTTGATCTATGGTAATCCACCGAGCACGTGGGAGGTGAAGACTAAAAATAAGCTTTTGAGAGCTCCAACTTTCACTTTCAACATATATGGTTCCGCAGAACCACTTTATTCTTGGAAGCACTGACGGCCATATTCGTCTCCATTCGGACAACAACCAAGCTTGGAATCCTCCTTTCTCTTGTTCTATTTCTTGCCACACTACCACTAGCAAGTCGAGTTATTTAGCTCAGTGCTCTTTCACAGGTTAAACACAGTCCTTCGTTGTGCAGCAGGTCCATCGCCCAAATTCAGATGTTGCCATGTGTTTGGAGAATCTCCAGCCCACCTTAGACCGAAACGCCCTGTCCGTGCATACCTGAAAAGGAATGATAAATTCAGTTCATTCAAAAAAATACACCAGTTTGATCGTCCTCTGGATCTCATATTCGGTCAGTACATGAAAGAGGTCTAAGCCGTCACTTCTACTACAACCAAATCCGAACCTTTTTCTGGAATCGTTGAGACGCATCTCATGTTCGATGATAACCTAAACAAATCCATTCTAGGATGCGATAACTTTATCAATACCGCTGATCATTCAACAGAATCAATCCTTCTTACTTTTAGTTTTACCACAGCAACACCTTCTAACAATAGTGTAAACAATAAAAGCGACAAAAATAACAATACTTGTAACAACAAGGAAAATATCAATCAGAAAGTATTCGACGAAAGATAAGTGTCGTCCATAAGGATCGAGATTTGGCAGACGTCCAAATCTGAAACGAGCAGACGTAGAAGTCTTGAGAAGATAAACAGATCAAAGGCAGGTACGTTGTCGTAGCGCAGCTACAAAGATGA